TTGTCTTTGGGTTCTCTACAGGTTCACAGTCACCAGCTACAGCAATAACCAGAGTGATCCTTATGAAGCAAGGCAGAGTTGCCAAAAGCAGGGCAGATCTGAAGGTACTTGGGAATCACAGTTGGATACACCTCTGCAGTGATGGGGATGACTCCTGGCAACAAGGCTGCCCCTATGAAAGCACCTCACACGTCTGGCAGGTCAGCCACTGCCCTGCAGAGCCAGTCTGCATGGTCCCTGTGTGTGCCACCTTGGTGACCCTGTCACCTACGCAGTCCAGAGCACAGGGTTCTGCTGCTGCTAAACCTGTACCAGAGCATGCAGGCATAGCAGAGCTCATGGGACATGAGCTGGCTTGTGTCCAGGACCAGTCCTGCTTCCTCGGTTCAGCAGTGTGCCTTTGCAGCAAGCCTTGCCCTTACTACTTTGTGCGTGGTTCCAAAAAGGTGCCATGACTTCATGGGATCAAGGCCAGAGCTTTGAAGCCTGCAGGGCTCCCTGGTGCACAGGCACAGTGACTTGGGTCTTCACTGGCAGGACATCCTTGCACCACCTTTCGCTGTGTGAAGATGTTTGCAGTATCCAGGGGGAGCAAAAGGAGGAATGAGTGACATCAGGAGATCTGCCTCTGGCTGGGGAATCCAGAGAGTTCATCCCAAGGTGCTCTCAGGTGTGCTCTGTCACCTGCCCCAGTGCCAGCTGTGCCTCAGCACACACACCCACAGCCCCAGCCCATCATCACCCTCCTCTCAGTGGGCACTGCCTGGCTCGGAGCCTTCTCCTCGAGTTTCCATCAGCTGCCAGAAAAGCTCCTGCTCTCTTGTCCCTGGTGGCCAGAGCTCACACTTGGCAAGCAGAGCCCAGCAATCCTGTGGGAAGGCATGCTTAAATAGAGGAGCTGAATATATCTCCTTCCTCGTCCAGCAATTATTTTGCTTCCTTTCCTCATTCTAGGTCCCCAGCCTGAGTGCCTCTGCCTCGGCGCACGCTGGATGCGCTCCCAGCAGCGCTCAGCCCTGAGTGTCACACACAGCCACAACATCAGGCATGATCCCTGATCCCAAACAGCACCAGCTGTCACCACCTCAACCCACTGGGACTCGATGGAATGGGGTTTTTCTAGTGTGCACATTCTGCCAGCCCCAAGCCTCAGAAACCCACCCGAGCTGTGCATTACTCAGCAAGCCCCAGTCCAAACCACCACGCCAACAAGGAGAAGCCGTGGTCACTGTGCTGCCTGCTCGGGGACAGCTGCTGGCAGAAGGAGGGGTGACCCTCTGTGGCTCAGGGAAGCTCCTGGCAGTCTCTCAGCAGGCCCTGGGCAGAGCACTCATCCCATCCTCAGGTGCAGAGATGGCCAGCAGAGCTCCCCAGGGAGCTCCAGTGGCATGCTTGGAGGGATGAGTGAGCCAGGACAGGCAGTGTGGACTCTGTGGGACAGAGGGAAACCTCTCCTATCAAACATCTAGCCTTGAAATAGTCTGAGTGACCTCATCTGGCTCCCAGTGTACTCCAAGCATGTGGGTTGATGTTAAAACTATGCTGCTTAGGGTGGAAACGCTTTCCAGTGTGTTTCCGCTAGGAATATTGCCACTGGCTCCTGGTGGGACTGGGTTTGGGCCTGAGGGAAGGAGAAGAGGTAGAGGAGGAATCAACCTGCACTTCTCAAAGCCTTGCAGCCGTCCTCCTGGAGGCTGGGGTAGCAAAGGGAGGACATCCAGATGGGAACAAACTGACATCTGCAGCTATCTGCCTCCGTAACTCTGTGTCTCTCCAGTACTTATTGTTTCTACAACAGGAGTGATTAGTGCCCCCACCAAGGTCAAGGCCTCCCAAACAGGCGCAGTGAGAAACAGCTCCTGCCCTGATCAGCTGAACTGCAGGAGAGACCAAGGGCACGGGAAAGGGGGACAGAGTGGGAAATCACCTGCCAACACGGCACGGGCTGGGGGAAGAGCTGGGATCACAGGCATGGGTCTCTCCAGCTCCCTTCTGTCCCTCTCCCCCAGCCCAGTGCCCTCGGCACGGAAACCTCCACAGCTCCAGGGCTGCAGAGTTAATGAGTTAGGTCTGTGAATTAGTTAATTTCCAGGAGCGGTTCTTTCATGACAAACACCACACAGCAGGCATCTTACATCTACAGCTACAAGAGCAGCCTCTAAGCCCACAACCCTTTGTCAAGAGTAAAAATATAAAACAGTCACAGTAGATGGAAAGAGACAGGAATAAGGCAAGGGCAGGGAAAGATGGAAGCACTACAAATTCTGCAGAAGAATGGAGGTTTCGAAAATGTCCAATTATCTGCAGAATCTGCCTGCAGCACCCTTGTTTCAGCAAGATGAGGGTGCTCAGGGCTACACAAAGCCATCTCTAACAGTTACTGGGTTTCAAACACCTTAGACTCATTACTCAATAATTAAGGATCCCATCCTACCCCAGAAGCCACATCTTGCCACACTGGCTGAAGCTGAACGAGGCCCTTGTGTTTCCATCCATCTGGGATCAGGGGGACCAGCAGTGTGGTGGCCTCAGCAGCGCTCAGAGGTGAGGAGCAGACAAGGCAGAGGGAGGCAGCTTCGAGCAGGGGAGTGCAGAGGGACAAGAGCTGCACCCCCAGAGCCCCTGTGGAGGAGCAATGAGGAGCACCGGGGCAAATATATCCTTGGGGAAGGATTCCTTTCAGGGAAAGAGGGATTGCAGGAGATACTTTAGAAAATAATGGAGGGGATCGACGAGGAATGGAGCAAGAGGGAATGGTTAGGTCTCTAGAAGATAACACAGTAGGGAAGGAAGAGGCTTTGGTGACAGGTGGTGGTGGAAGAACAAAGCAGAATAAAAGAGAGGTGGTGTAAGGAAGAGAGCGTGAACACAGTCAGGCTGAAATGAGAGACTGAAATAATGGTGGGGAGAGCACCCCTCAGACATCTTTCAGAAAGGAAGTGACAAAGTGAAAAAGGAAAAACAAAACCCATAAAATGCAAAGGGAAGGAGTGGGTATTTCATCACTGAGCGTGAGGTGATGCTGGTGTGCAGGAACCCAGTGATTGAAAAGCACAGGCAGAATGGTAAATTCCTCTACAAGTGCTTGCACACCACAGGAACAAATAACCCGGGGATGCAAGGACTGCCTGTTAAATTGGGGTGACACCCAGAAGAATGGCCCACCACCTTTCCTATTGTGTTTTTGGGCTGGGCCTAGAGCTCAGGCACCAATCCACCCAGGGCAAGAAATCGTGTGTCAGTGCCCCCCTGCTTCCACAGCCTGCTGAGGAGGAACCTGCTGGTCTGTGTCTGGGGATGCCAGCCTTGGAAGCACAGGAATCCTGCCTGCAGGGAGCCAGGGTGCTGAAAACATCGGGCTGCTTTGAACAATAAGGAGGTTCATCTCCTCACCTTGGGTGCTCTGCCTTTTGCCTACACCGAAGGCTTAAAACAACACCAGCACTCCCAGGGTCTGCCTGGCCTCCCCAGGATAAACGTGGGGCTGGTCTCAGCACACAGAGGGGAATCCAAACACCCTATCTGTGGTCGTGGTCCCTGCTTCAGTGCTCTTACAAGAAACATTTTATGTATTAAAATAAGATTTTCCCTGTAACTCCCCTTTTAACACTGCTGGCTGTTCAGCCTGGAAAACGTGACTCAGGAGGAGGCTGTGGACATCTCCCTGAACATGAGGGGAGAGCAGCGAACATCAGAGAACAGAAATCACATCCCTTGTCGTACAGACAGCACCCAGGAAGGCCAGCCTGCCGCTGCTCCGGAGGAGGGCTGGGGCAGAGCAGGGTTTGTATGCTCTGCGCTCTGCCACATGCAGCCCTTCCCTTCCTTGAGAGGATCAAACGCGTCGTTTACAGCTGTGATTATCAAAGCCAATCTTTTGGTCTCATTGGTCAAACTGGGGAAATCTCCCAAGTGCTTGTACTGCTAAAATAAGATCTTGTTCAGTGGAGATTATGCAGAACCATCTCTTTCCAGGCACATTTTGTTAGCAAGGGATTAACTAGGAATGTTGACATTTAAGTTGTTGTCACTGCATATTTGAGGCTGAGTGTACATTAATTACAGGGCTGCACAGCTCCCAGCCTCAAAGCTCCTTTTTTAACAGAAGAAGGAGCCAAGGCTGTGCTTCCCAGTGTGTGAGAGGGGTCAGAACTATGAGGTGCTCCAGGGGGGATTTCGAGGGCGAAGAACAGGGGACAAGGGGAGACAGTCTGGTGCTACAGAGGCAGCCTCAGCTAACACCATATTCAGGTGAACGGGGCAGAGACTGCCATTTCAGGCATCATCTTTTCATATTTAAGGAATTGGGCAATTACTAGAGGTTCTTTGATAAATATGGCAGAACTATATTTATTTCCAAAAGGAAAAAAAAAAAAAAAAGATAAAGGATAATGTCACTTCAGTGACTCGGTTTGTCCTCTTGGTGCTTGGATGGCAGGTAACCTCCAGGGCCATGCCCCCCTTTATCCAGCCTGGGCATCTCAGATGACTCTGAACTAAACCGGCTCAAAATATCAGTACAGCCATCCATCACATCTCATTCACGCTGGATTTCAAATCTCATTAGGCTCCAAGAAGGCGCAGGCAGAAATTCACAGTTTTGTTATTGTCCTAGTATTTCCAGCACGAATACATCCAAAATACCACAAGAGCAATGGTGCCTCGGCGCACGGACATATGGCAGGAACAGAAAAAGCTGCTCCGGTGCAATTGTTCAGCTCCATTTCATGGAGAGAGCCGCACAGGGGGAGGGCTGAGCGCCGGGGAGAGCAACAGAGAAACACGCCAGGCTACACAGAGCTGACAGAGGGAGAGCAGGACGGGAGGGAGAGCAGGGCAGCGAGAGACGCATGCAACTCGAGGGGAAGGACAGCAACCCCGCAGGAAGAGAAAAAAAAAAAAAAAAAAAAAAAAAAGGGGGGGGGAGGGTGTAACTGGAATGAAAATAAAGGGGAAAAGGCGGAAAAAGGTAGGAGCAGGGAGGGGAGGGAAGGCGAGGGATGCGGGAGCCCCGGCCCGCCATCGCCCCCTGCGGGCCGGGCGTGGAACTGCGGGCGGGGCTCCCCCTGCAGGGCGGCACCGCCGAGCCCCCCAGCCCGGGGAGCCCTCCGAAGCCCCCCAGCCCGGGGGGCCCTCCGAAGCCCCCCAGCCCGGGGGGCCCTCCGAAGCCCCCCAGCCCGGGGGGCCCTCCGAAGCCCCCCAGCCCGGGGGGCCCTCCGAAGCCCCCCAGCCCGGGGGGCCCTCCGAAGCCCCCCAGCCCGGGGGGCCCTCCGAAGCCCCCCAGCCCGGGGGGCCCTCCGAAGCCCCCCAGCCCGGGGGGCCCTCCGAAGCCCCCCAGCCCGGGGGGCCCTCCGAAGCCCCCCAGCCCGGGGGGCCCTCCGAAGCCCCCCAGCCCGGGGGGCCCTCCGAAGCCCCCCAGCCCGGGGGGCCCTCCGAAGCCCCCCAGCCCGGGGGGCCCTCCGAAGCCCCCCAGCCCGGGGGGCCCTCCGAAGCCCCCCAGCCCGGGGAGCCTCCGAACCCCCCAGCCCGGGGGTGCCTCCGAGCCCTCTCCCATCCCAGGGTTCTCTCCGAGCCCCCCGCCCTGCCCTGCCGGGGACCCTGCTCTGTGCCTTCTCTGAGTCTGGCGGCCCCGCTCCTGCAGCCCTCCCTCCCTCCCTCCCTCCCGCCGCTTGTCAGACTACTGTAGCTGCTATCTGCTGCCCCAGTCTGCGAGGGAGCCCTGTCTCCTCCATAAGAGGAGCTTTCTGGACAGATGAGACCCTCCTCAAGTAGCAGTGAGATGGAGAAGCAGCTTTTGAGGAGAGACTCGGAGAGAGCTGGTATGTCCCCTGCAGCACCGCCGGGCAGTGAGGAAGATGCTGCCGGAGGAAGACGGGCACAAAGCTCGCAGCCCACAGCAGTGGCAGACAGACTGCCCTGTACCTTTGCTCTTAGCACATGTAATCCCAGGACAACCCATGGGATCCTCCCGTGGGATAAGGGTCACAAAACCCTGGCAAAGGGTGTGGGGTGACAGGGGACATCTCATCATTGTGCTGAGAAAGGCCACCAGACCCGAACAGCTCTCACTCCTGCCGCAGTGGAGAGGGCCATCCTCAGTTCTGAGGATAACACGGGGTGGCCATGGAGGCGTCCTGGATCTTTAACCAAGCAGTACAAGCTTTGGGCGTTTTTTCCTCCCCTCCGCGTGTAAGGCACTGCCACATTCCTCCTCGTCCTCCGCAGCCTGGGCCGGGCGCTGGGAGCAGCAGCTCGGCGGCAGCGGGGAGTGTTGAAGAGCCCCCCGAGGCCCTCCCGGCTGGGCGCAAAGTGGAGAAGCAGCTGCCTGTTTACAGAGGGAGGGTGCAAATTGGCCTTCGGGGAGAGCCGCACCGCGCATTTCCCTGCAGCTCGGCTCGGGAGGGAGCGGGGGGAGACCTCCAGCTGAGGAAAACAACCAGGAAGGCGAGTATCTGCCATTTCCTAGGGGGAAAGGATTCAGAGGAGAGCTGTCTGAGTCTATTAACTGATGCTGGTTCCTGTGGAGAGATGGTGGCACACCGGTTTGCTTCAAATAGTCTGTTTCCATCTCTAATGCCACCTTCAAGCATTCAGACCCAGACACACAAAACTCCCTTCCTGCTACCTTTTCTGGCGTGTCTCTCACGGAGGATTTTATTTTCCTAATGGGAGACACGAAGCAGGGTTTGCAGTAAATGAAAAGAGCCGTGTCCATTTGCATGGTTGCATAATCACGTTATACAGGGATCTTTCAGACTCTGGAGAGCAGAGAGAGAGAGAGAGAGAGAAAAGTGGGCCGTCATGAGCGGGAGCTAAAAGCCAGATCTCTCGATGAGATCAAGGAATAGATGTGAAGTCAGTCAGATGGAGAAATGTCTGGATAGCTCTTCCAAACAGTGAGAGTCGCAGGCTTAGCTCTGAACATAAACAAAGCGAGATGTTTCTGGGGGTTGGGCTGGGTTTTGTATAAACTCAGTTTCCTCTTCCATCATTGAAACCGGATGAGAAGAGCAGCCTGTAGCCAGGAGCCTTTGCCTCTCCGCTGAGGGCTTACACAGGGCTCAATTCCCAGGGTGCTCAGGCCAGGACCTTTCACCAACATCATATTCATTGCAGAGTGAAAGAAAAATCGCTCACTTCATGCTGCTGAATGAGAAGCTCTATTTCCAGAATACACATTTGCCTCTTAGTAAATGGTAATTTACCAGCACTGGCAATATTCCCTTCTGGATCCCCTGGTAACCGCTGATTAGTCCAAGCCTCAGCCCAGGGTCACCCAAACCTCAGCCCTCCAAGAGAGAAAGCTTCACTTGAAATATAAATGCTATTAAATCAAAAGGACAGATTTTCACAGAAATTATATATTCTCTGAAACAAGGAAAACTAAAGCTGGACAAGTATAGCCTTTTTTTTTCCCTGGAAATTAATTTTGAAACCTAGCATCACTCAGTTACTATCCTGTTACCCTAAAATTCCCACCTCCTGTTCCTTACTCCATTATTTGTTCTGATGTCAGTAGTGGGAGGGTAAGAACATCTCCATAAACATTTCATGGTCCACTTTGTAACTCAAGTACTTCTGTGAAATTTTAAAAATCTAGGCCATTTAGCCATCCAAACCATTTGAAATGTTTACCCATCTGAAGGATTTCTCAGCTGCTTCCTGGAGTGCGAAGTCAAACATCGCCTATCCTGTGGAAAAGGGAGAGTGGGAGGACATGTTTTTTACATGTTGTACCTCTTCACCTCCTTTGCACAGTCTGATTCCTCGTTCATGGAGTAGTTAACGATACAGTATTTAAAGGAGATGTATCCTCAGCCAGAGAGGACAGGGAAGCAACAGGTGCCCAATCTAAATTAACTGTCTCACCCTCAGGAGCAAAGCTGTCATCACCAGCCCCGAACTTGTTACGAGGAATAAAAGGCTAACCTGAGAGGCACAAGAGAGCCTTCCCTCCCCGAGCAACCCGCAGCATATGGCAGCAGGAACCTGCAGGATTTCCAGTGGCACGCAGCATGACTGCCAGGGGCTGTCCTCCCTCTGATGCCTGGACCTTTTTGCATCACTTGGGAAGTGTGAGGAGGCAACGGGCGAAATGCAAACCTAGCCCACGGTGCTCACATTAAATTTCTCAACGTGTGGTGTTTCGTGCGAGTGGGATGACTGTCAGACATCGCCTCTAGAGGACACGATCCTCAGTGGGCTTGGGCTGCTCAGAAAATCCTGGATTCCTCCCCCAAGCCAGGCAGCTCCTGGTTACCTGTCTCTGCACTGCTGTGCCACATTCTGCCTGCTGCAACTGTACCGTGAAAATTGGGGCATTTATCTGTACCTCTGTGCTCCACATAGACAGTTTAGCTAAGGACATCTCCTTTCACATCCTCGCTGCAACTGTGAGCTCCCAAGAGAAGCACCTAAACCTCCCAGGGACCATGAACAGTCCCAGGAGTGGGACTGAAAAGCTGAGAGGAATACAGTGCCACAGAAGGGATACCTGAGATACCTGCAAATGAGCTTGTGGAGGCTCTGGAAGAAGACCAGGAGCTCTGGGAGCTGACTAAAATGTACATGCAGATGCTGGTTGCAGCTGCAAACTGCTTGACATAAATCACTATACACTGGCAGTAAAAAGTATGGGTCTTACAGACTTTGCAGAAAATAATACACTGCACACTTGTTGCTTGAGATGTGAGGGACTAAGTTATCTGCAAGATAAAAGAGGAACAGGACCTTTGCATCAAATTCCCTGCTAGTTTTCTGTCTGGAATGTCAAGAGGAGGAATGACACAGTATGTTTTAATTACAAAAATGTTCATTTTTGGCCTGGACTGTGCTACATACACCTTACATGCTACAACAGGGATCAGGTACTAAGTGGAGGAAAGCTTCAAGCAGGACCCTGTAAGATGAGCAAAGGGTTAGCCTGAAGTTGGGAAGGGGCAGAACTGAGGAGAGAAGGTGATTTACTTTGTCTCTGCTCGCTCAGAGGCTTCTGCTTCGTTTGTGGCTGGGCATGTCTTCTGGATGGCACCCATGAAACAGGTACAGGAGGGCAACCAGGAACAGGCTCGCTCCAGCTAAAGCAGGATCCCTGTGGAGAAAAGCTGTCTGAGCAGGAGAGCTCCAGCAGCAGTGGCAGAAGTGTGGAGCTGCCAGGAATTGTTGGTGGCTAAGGCTGGCATTAGAGAGCACGTACCAAGGAGCTCACCGAGCCACACAGCCAGACAAATCCTTCCCCACTGCAAACTCACTGTGCAAGTGATGTAAACACCAGAGACAGCAAAACCAGCACGAGCCATGAGAGGCAGCAGGACCACTCTGTGCCAGGGTGAGTCCCAGTGAATCAGAGCTGTGTGATGCCAGTGCAGGGAATGGTTCCCGTGTTTGGAAAACCTTTGCAGGTGCAGCTGGAACAGAGGGAGGCAAGCAGCAAATGCCCATGGAACAAACTGCCAAGGTAATAATACTTGGGAACACTGGGGCAGCTCTGAAACTGGGCATTTTCCTCATCAGTGTCACTGCAAAGATTCCCAAAACTGCCAGGAAGAGTAACACCCAAAGGGAGATGTGGAATGGAAACCGTCAGAAAATTAATATCATTGTCAAGCTTTGATTTCCCATTCATGCAAAGATTTTTTTTTTCCATCTACTGGCAAAAAATAATCACTGTGGAGACAGTGGGAGTACCCTGTGGGAAAAAAAAAAAAAAGCTTTTCTAAAGAAGTTTACAAATAATGGTTCAGATCTCCTTCAAATTGCCATTGAATCAGAAGAAATAAATGGAGCTACTCAGATTTGGTAAGGAAGTGATCCTATTGTTTTAATGTGATTTTGTTTTAATGATGTTGGAAGATGATGACAAATTGGCTCCCTCTGGTTTGGATTTTTCCAGACTGGCACAGGACAGATGCAACAAATGAAGAACGCCAGTAGGACTATAAATGGAATAGAACTGTAGTTCCTACACTCAGCTATGCCTGTATCTCACATACCAGAACAAAAAAAAAAAAAAAAAAAAAAAAAAAAAAAAGGGAGTGAGCTATGGAGTTAGGGCTTGTGTTAGTAAATTTAGGGTAAGATACATCTCAGAGCACTGCAAACCTTCGGGGCTTAGCATTAACTTGAAAATATTACCATATCTCTGGAAATGCAGTGCTAAGGGCACTCAAAAGAGATTTTTGTCATGCAGTGCCACTGCTGACCAAGAGCATGATTATAGCCAGGTCATTTTGACACTGGAAACCAAGGACACTTGCCCTCTCCTGCCAGCCACCATGGTAATTCCCAGTGGCAGTGGGAATCCATCTCTGCATTTTCAGATATCTGCATCTTTGGTTTAACCTTGAGCCTGACTTGCAAAATTTCTATTCACAGCACATCAAACAGTTACTTCCATCCATCCACAACAGTTTTCTACTATGAAGTTTACATTTCCATCTTCATCAACACATTTTCCAAGGATGTGCATTTCATATGAGGTGAGTTCTGCCTTGTCAAAGATCTCATGCTCACTGATTCCAGCCTGTCTCAATACATACTCACATGTGTATTTATTTTACTTAACCTTAAAGCAAAGCAGCTCAGCTTTGTTGTGTAGACGATCCTTATATTTTCTTGG